TGTGAAGATGTAGATCTGCAGATGTGAGGATGTGAAGATGTAGATCTGCAGATGTATTACAATGTCGCAGGTGCTCTCGGGGATTGAATATCAGACAAGAAAATTGGCAGGACGCACGCCAACAAGGACATCAAAACACAGTCCAGAACATTTCCCAGCCTTTGTGAGCGTCAGAGTACAAGCCAGACTTGATGCCAGAACCAGAGTCAAAACATTGCGTCACTTTGTCAGGCTAGTCTGTCAATACATGTGCCCTGCCTTCTTCCAAATCGCCTTTGAGGGTGAGCTCGAAGTAGAGTAATTTTAGAAGAACCCTTCGCTCAAGCGCTCTCGCGAGCTAGAAAGATTGATAGAAGACCGAAAGAAAGCGAAAAGCTTTCCTATGTTGTAACTGCCATTCCATCAGGCTGGAGTGATGGAAGCATGGTCTTTGACTGACTGGACCCAGGACCCAGACTGCATTCTTTGTCAAGCAGCCAAATTCGCACAAAGCTTACAAGAATGAACAAAGAAGCTCAACCCAACCTGTAAACAATGAGTGGCCCACAATTGAGCGGCATAAGAGCAGCAGCAGCAATACATTTTTTTTGAAATACAATGTTTTCATACGGAGGTTGCTGTTTTGGGGTCGGGATGGTAATTACACTCACTTCTACACGCCTGACCACATTGACATGTCTTTGGTGCAGCTCACTCTGGGTTTGTGGGGGCTTCGCTTGTATGATCCAAAAACGGTAGTATTGTCCAAACAGCGTAGCACCTGCTGATTTGGAAACAAACGTACGGGAGCACAGATCCAAAAGAATCTCCTCACTTGGGCCACGTGTTGATTCGCAGCATTTTGGCGTTGCCGGAGCGTGTTTTGGAGCGTGTAGTGTCGGATCTGGTTGGCATAGCTCCATCACAAAATGGCAGAAACCTACTCCTACCTAACGCGTAAGATCTTGAACAAGTTATCTTCCGCGAAGGGCGTGCCCACCCACAAGCTGCAGGTGGTTTCCCAAACATAGTAATTAGTCTGAGGAAGTGGCTGGGTTTGGTAAGCCAAAAGGACATTCATGAAATCTTCCTTGCGAATGTATCCGGAACCTTGGTTGAAAGAAGGACAATGCAACTACAGTACATCATACTTTGAATGATCTCAGGCTTGGACTGCCCCAGTCCAAATCGTCAAATCTGAGAACTTGAGCTTCTCCCTTGCAACACTTGGAGTACACGGGCACACAGGAAGAACAGGCAGCTTCGTCCAATCGAATGTCTAAAGTTGCAACGCGCGCGAAGAGGTACGAACCTCTTGCGCACCAAAACAAAGAAAACAAAGCACCCCCGAGGAGTGAGGATGGGTTGATGTTGTGAACTCTGGTTGGACGCGCTCTTGGGCATGGCGGGTTGGATGGGATTGCAGCCAAATAAACAGCTAAGTACCATCCAGCTCGGTAGGTAGGTGGGTAGGTTGGTGTACAAGATGTACATCCAGCTGCAACGGTCTCAAACTTCCAGGAATCTGTGCAAACGAGGGTTTTTGAATATTCATTAATATTACATATTACTCACTGTTTGACGACCAGAAATCGGAAATGAGTTACACATTGCTTGCCTTCCGCCCGCTGCCTGCAACTTGGCGAGCAAAACCTGCGCAGATAACGCAACATACTCACACCCTCAGCAACAACTTTCTCCTGCCTCCCTGGCCCTTCGAGACTGTCAGCTGCTTCGCAGGGCCTAGGTCAGAGGACAAAACGCCCGAGCCCGAGCCTCACTGATATGCAAACTTTGAAATATACATATATGTGGGCCCCAGGCCAATTGCACGCTTTGGCTCTAATTCCCGTGGCACGGGCTGTTTTGCAGACGCCTGCGAACTCTTTGTAACTCCAAACGCTGAACCTCAGCAAGGTGTATGAAGCCAATTGTAGGAAATAGATGGAAATAGTTGTCAAGCAAAGAGTGCGACCTTTTGCTTCTGGTTGGTGTGGTTGCCATGGTAGCTGCTTAGTCGGCGCCAGTTCTGTGCTGGGGGCCGCAGCACCAGAACCTAGGAAACCAAAGACGGGAAAGAAGGAATGCCTTCAAAGCCGGACAACCCCCACTGAAATGGACAGAAGCAGGTCAAACCAAAACAAGCTGCCCTGCGCACCTTTTGCGTGTCTTGGGTCTGATTCCCACGGCATCCTCTGCTTGGCAGGTGGTGGGCTGCTGGGCCCCGCAGGGACAGAACCTGGTCAGGTATGCTGCATATGTACATATATATATATATGTACATGTATACATACTCTAGATATCAAAATCAAAATATTGATCGGACGGGCAATATATGTTGCAAAAACTTTTGGCCAGCGACCTTTTGCATGCCCTGGTTCTGATTCCCACGGCATCC